TCGAGTTATAGAGCGGAAGGGAAATTCTCTGCGGCGGAGGCTGCTGGGGAAACATGAAACCATAGTATCCCCGCCGACTTCGTCACGGGGGATACAATTAACAGTTTGTACATTGCAATCATTAGATGTAAAATGTAAGAAAGTACATTATAATTTACAAATATTCTTTCCCGCATATTAATTTGCAAAGAAAAACAAAATCACTTAAAAAAACAAGGAAAACAAATAAATAATAAGCATCACGACTGAAAAGGCAACCGTAATAAAAACATCCTGCTTCATATACTTTGCAGGAAACCAGTATTAGATTGATATGTGTGAGTATTGTGTACCATAACCAATTGCCCATTTACTAGCTGCAGCCACAATATCACTGCCTTGGTTAGAGACTACCAAAAAGAAGTCTAGTATTTTGACACATGGCACTTCTAAAAACTATCATTCTGTGGTTTTTCTAATGTACACACTCATACCTTTAAATGCATTAAAATAAATTGTTCTGCTTTCTCACACTGAACGAAAAAGTAGCTTGCACTATAATACATTATATTTATATATATTTTATATATATATATATCAGAAGTAGATAATTGGGAAGGAGTGTGACTTCAATAAACAAGGGAAATTCGTCATTTACTAGCCTTATAATACCTACGATTTACTACGCGTAACTCATCCAACTTGAACTCAAATCGTACACAGTACATTTGCCTAGCATCGTGCGAAATCGTTTCCTCGTATACACCCGCAATCCGGAGATACAGACTAAAACGTATGACACGATTTTCCATTCTGTTGCCAGCAAACTCGATGTGTTTTCGGCCGAAATTTAAACAAAAGATAGCTACTAATGCTCGGTGATGCGGTGTGGCTCGCTGGGAGATTGCTGCTGATTGCGGTGGGCGTGCGTGCGTGGGGGCATACCAGCTGTATGCCGATATGTAGCTGTATGCCGGGTCAAAGGTTATCTCGCCGAGTGTTGCGTCGATGTCCAATCTCCCAGCGAGTCACACCGCATCGCCGAGCGTTAGTAGCTGCCTTTTGTTTTAATTTCGGCCGAAAACACATCGAGTTTGCTGGCAACAGAATGGAAAATCGTGTCGTACGTTTTAGTCTGTATCTCCGGATTGCAGGTGTATACGAGGAAACGATTTCGCATGATGCTAGGCGAATGTACTGTGTACTATTTGAGCTCAAGTTGGATGAGTTACGCGTAGTAAATCGTAGGTATTATAAGGCTAGTAAATGACGAATTTCCCTTGTTTATTGAAGTCACACTCCTTCCCTATTATCTACTCCTGATATATATATATGTGTGTGTATATACATACAATCTACACAATACGTCTTTAAATGTTTAATAATAGAAGATGAGGTATCAAAAAACTACACTAAAACCTACGTCGATGAAGCTTCAGGATGCAGTAGGCAGCTGCTACCAGCAGCTTCTCTCCTTCCAATACATATATGTCCCAAAGCCTTAACGATAATGTAAATGGTGTCTGGAAAAAAATCAAAGATAGACATAATTATTATTAATTAACCTTCATAAAAGTGGCAAGTCCTAGGCAAATAACATTAAATATTCCATCGAACTAAAACAGAGTCACTTAAGAGAGACTGAATCATCAAATTTAATCCATTACGATGAAATCTTACAACACTAAAAAGGAGCTTAGCAAATGATAGAATACGACACTGCATGGTTTATATGGTCAATCGAGACCACCAACACTATGCCATTACCACTTTATGACTACTACAACTTATTAACGTATGAATAAATAATCAAAATTTGATTATTTATTCATAAGTTAATAAAATATTTAATATCATCAATGTCTAGCAGCAAGTGAGCATTTAGTTCAAGTAAGTTGTATATTCACATCCAAATTTCAGTTATGGTCATGATACATATATAAATAATTCCCTGTCTGCAATATATTCTGCAACAACTGATATAAATTATGATTACAACATGAAATACAGTGACTGTATCTTTAATGTTGAAGCACATACCCTATCCAAAAAGCACTGGAAAAACCACTTGGTGGTGTATAGAGATGTATAAACTTCTTGCTTGTCCTGTAAAAATCCATATGATGGTAGTATAAAATCAATGCTTCCTAATTGAAATGCAACGAAATTCTACCAAAATGCACAAATCCTGGAGCTTACTAGCAAATTCATATTCATAGAGATTTTACGTTCAGACTGAAACTGGCGAATCAAAACCTAAACTATTTCGACGATGGAAAAAAACGAGCGTCGTGCACAGGACGAGACGGCATGTACTCACAAACTGTTTTTTAAGCTTGGACAAAAATTTCTTGAAGACGACGTCGTGGTGCTCTTGAAATCGCAGTAGTTTGGGGAAGCCGGGCACAAAGAAGCCGTGCATCGCGTGACGCTTGTCGGTAAGCAGCACCGACAGCGCCCAGAATGCATCCTGAAACGCGCAAGTACGATCGTCTGCGTTTACTATCGCACACTGGCGATTAAACAATAGCATCGTTACAGCAATTATGTAGCTGCACATGACGAGAGTCGAGAGGGTATATCATAAGGGCTGAATGTACGAATGAAACTAGATGTTTCATACGACATTTTAATTGTGTATAATAATCTACTTAATGAAAAACACTAGCTTCATGTCAGTAGAACTTCAGAGCTAAATATGTTACTACGCAACTCGTAGTTATCCTCTATCAAATATACTGGCAAGATAATACACATTCAGAATTACTTGTAAACCTGTTACTTCCAACGGGCCTTTGTTTACTTTGTGCAATTTACCAAGTGTGTCTATAATTCAAAAACAAAGTAGAGCAAGTGGCAAAGTGTACCTCTTCATTAAGATACATTAGGAGAAGGGCTGCAATCTGGCTCATGCCCTGGCAGTAACCAACTTCCGTGTTGTACATGGAATATGCAGCTAGCACATGAAACAGCGCCTGTTGCCTGTAACAAACCATCAAGTTAGGATCTGTAAATATACGGGTCGTAATTTTGGGGTCAAGGTGCAGTGGATAGCCATACATTGATGACTAGTCGGGTGATTTTTAACAGTACACTGTCCATTTCTGTAACAGTATTACTGTACATATGGTAACATGATAGTAATCCACCAGTCTCAAATCAGTAAGTAATTAAGTGGCATTCGTTAAAAAAAAGTAAAGCACTATTCTGCCATATACTCATAACTCGAACACAGATGTACCCCATTAAGTATAGCTTCTCAGTTTGTGTGGCAACATATAATAAATGACACATGTACATTTTGCTTCTTTTTTTTTTTTCTTGTTATGGTTAGGCATCCATTAAGTGATTCACAAATCTCATTATCAATCAAAGTTAATAAATCCTTCCGAAAAGCCAACCAGAACGACAGATACAGACAGGAGTCAATAAGAGAGAATCTTGAGATCTATTCTACAGATCTGTGAGTCTATTACCTCAGGCCTGACATAGACCCCTGCTAATGCTTACTTGACACAGTATCGTTCTCTGAACATTATGTGGTTCCTGTATGTTCTGTTCACGTCCAGGTCTATTTGCTTGATATCAGGAGACAGCTTTCTCGCTCGAACTCGCATTTTCTGAATTGTAGACACACTGACGCATGAGCACGCTGCACGTTCCCCAAGGCAGAATAATCCATGTGAAATTACCGTCATTTCCAACCAAGCATATTGACAGGGTTTGTCTTACCTATGCTTATAATTTTATACTACGTAGCAAGTTTTAATAATTCACTAATATTATAACATAAAGATATAAACTTGTACAACAAATTGAATGGCACTAAACCTGAGACTGCTGGATAACAGAATTTATAGCTGACTATAATGAGCAGAGAGAGATACTATATTGAGTATGGATCTAAAACAGTAAAATATTGATACAGACATGGCTCAATCGTACTTTGGGACCCCGTTATATAAATCATCATCATCAGCACCCTATCGCTAACCTAACCCTAACCCTAATCCCAACCTAATCCTCAGACGCCCATTAAATTTCGGGGCACTAAAGCCAGACTGAACCCTGTTGACTTACTTCGTAGATGCCTTTCTGCTCACTTTTCACCTTCTCAATGTGGAGAAGGCGAGACCAGACCTCTCCTCGTAACGCGTGCGGAATGCCCTTGTAGATCCGTCGCGTCAGCTGAAGATATATTGGACGTATAAAACTTAACAGCCATTCACTCGCGCTCCGAAAATAAACTCGAAACTACGACAGTCGGAAAAAGCCATGTTTATCTCCAGACGATGACCAACGGTACATAATACGAGCGACCGTAAACTAATACGGAGAGCATGTTGTTCGTTCTAGAGTAAACAAACACGGTTGTTTGCTCTTGCAACAGTGAAAATACTGTATTAGAATTGCCCAGCATCTGAAGCCGGGTAGACACGTATTGATACGACTGGACACTTATTATTACTGCAGCTACTATGTGGTACATTAAAACTAATTCAGCACTCTCTAGCTTCTCACTCACTTTTTCACTATTAATGTATTTATCCCAGCTTTTCATCATCTTCACCCATTTGGTGAGTCTCTCCACCTCGATTTGCTTTTGCTGTTTGCAAATTGGGGAAACGGAGAGTAAATTAAATGCAAACTCTACACACTGAACGTCAACACGGTTTTTGCATCAAATAAACGACTGAAAGAAAAAGTACGAACACGTTTATAAAGTGATATAAACTGTACTGTCAACAATAAATTCTAATTTTAATCTTGCATTTTCCTTAAAGGAAGCATTGTTGCATATCACGTGTTTGTGAAGAATTCCGTGCTACTATATCAGAACTATAATTAACATACGATTATAATTAGTTTACAATAATAAATACTAACAAAATATGTTATAGTAAGAATAAAAAAACCTCGTTATATGTGTTGACCCTGTATTTTTACTATTCATGTGACTAAGAAGCCATAGAACACACCTTCTCTTCTTGTGCATCATATTCTGGCAATTCTTTTGAACTAAAAAAGTGTAAAAATAAATCAGCTGTTAGAGAAGACATTTCACAAAAGTGCATTTATCTATGATTTGATGTGTAATGGAAAGACAGATATACATTCTATGACAAAATTTAGGAATAATTTGCTTTGGTTATTCTAGCACAGCGAAAGATTTGACTTTCAACAGAAACACAGACTCGTACTTCAATCCATTTAAATTCAAATCAGCATAGAAATCTACTATCTATCTATTTTTGCTTTTACTTACACCGAAATGAAAATCGTCAGTAAGAACAGCACCACTTATTTTACTTAATGACACGCATGGCAAAAATTTCTATTCCACCCCATTATAATTTGAGCTTGATTTCAGTTGCTAGTAGGATTTAAAATTGTAGCCAATTGGATCGAGCCACAAAACATCCTATTTAGTATATATATATGTAGATTGCAAATTATACTGTTTTTGAATTTTTACATGTGGTCAACATTGATGAAATTATTGAATTAGTAATTTTAATAATTTGCCTATACTGATCACATATAGAAATAAAATAAAGCTTGTGTATATAATATAGAATCAGCAATCAGCTACAGTCACAATGAGATAAAACCACAGCAAGAATTCATTAGGAATGGCATTCCCACACCCCTATCCAAGTATGAATAGGAAATGTTTTCCCACACCAGCATGCACACATTGCAATAAAAAGTCACTGAAGCAATGTGTGGGTGAGAGAGCGGGGTGATCAACTGACAGAACCGACTGCTATGGAGGCCTGCTATACTACCACCATACCCACAGGTGACAAACACTGACCTGACATCTTAGTAATGCAAGGCCTTTGTTTGTGTGCGTGCGTGCGTGCCTGTGTGTGTGCGCACGTGCGTATTGTGAGTGTGCGTGTGTGTGTGTGTGCATGCGCACGTATGTGCGCGCGTATGCATGCGCGTGCGTGTGGGGAGTTGAAAACAGGTAGTCTGTGTGGAACCAAATTCTGACGGCAGGGTGTTATGCTTGTCCAGGACCAAAGTAATTTCTGTTATTGGTACTATCTTTGGATGCATTTGGGGACTTATTTTGAAGGAATTGTTGCAAATAACGATAAGAATTCTGCATAATTTATATAGAATATTGAAATAACCTATTTTTGTGACGAATTTTAAGAGAGTAGTTTCTGAAAAAGGGTAGTAAAATACCACCACCATTGCATAACCCGAAACCTTGCAATGTCACGGCATGCAGCAATACTCACTGGAGGAACCCGAATCTATCGGTGAGCTGATAGACTTCGAACGACGGGTCCTCCCACGGCTCGATCGTCTGCCCTTCTCGACCCTGCAGAAACACACAACACACATTGAACCTGTGTTAGTGGTCACCTTCATAGAACCTAATCCCGTCTATGAGGGACACTTTCGACGTTTCCTTGAGTGGCAGTTACACAGTGAAATCACCTCCACTATGTTTACTCTGAAATCACCAAGACCTGTCTATAAACGACACTTCGGCTTCATTTGAGTGACCCTTATACGCAGGTTTGACTTGAGTGACCCTTATACGCAGGTTTGACTTGAATAAGTGCACCACTCGAGTAATAAGACTGGTAGCCACACTGAAGCCATCCACTGCAACATAAGTGCCTCACTCACAGAAACGCACCACCTACAATCTGTTCGTCAACAAATTGCGAACCACAGAAACTTCTGCCCATCGCAGGCCACCGTAGAGGTGGGAGAAATTCAAGGGCGGAGTGTGTATATCCACGCGCGAACACCCACCGTGGTCAGAAGCTCTAGTGGAAACTTCTGAAACATTTCGGCTGCGGAACACTAATGAAGGCGCATGTGAACGTGGCGGTGTGCAAGCACAGAACTGGCTTCAGCTTCAGAGAAACAACACCGACGCGTGTTTTCATCCGGGCTGCGCGCGTCGCTTTAGCGGCAAAAACTTCCATTTCTGTTGTTAGCCAAAAGCTCGCAAACACCACAAACGCAGATTCGATCAAGTACGTGGCTTGGTTTAAATACTTTTACGAATACAGTAAACACCCGCATAAAAGAAACTGCAGATTAAGAACCTCCAGGCTGAAATTGAACCAATAAAGCACCTAGTATATAAGAACCACTTCGGCCTGATAAATTAAGCAGGTTCTTATATGAAAAAAATACCGAAAATTAGAGCAAACTGGGGGCAATCTGGGGCATTGGAAACCAACAACATGTAGTTCCAGATAATATTAATACCTCTTCACAGGAGGATTGGATTTTCCAGAGGGTATTTTGCCTCATTTTCCAGTAAATGTTGGGGTTTGCTTGCATTTACTAGTTTAAATTAAGCTGTGTTATGTTACTGTAATGCAGTTATGCTGACAATGAATTATTGCCTGTACTGTCTACTATTAGTCAAATCAATTTTCCCAGCATTTGACCTTTCATTGTGTTTAATATGATAAATAAATTAACTCAAATGAATTTAAACAGACATATAATTTCTAATATTATGCAGTTGGTTAATTAATTAATGTCAATTATTCAATAATTAAAGGCAATTTTACCTAGATTCGATTACCACTTAATGTACACAATATCCCCCCCCACCCAAAAAAAAATTAAGAACCTCTTTAAGAACCTCTTCATGCTGATTTCTCACTATGTATCATATATATAAGAACCACATCAGCCTGAAACAGAAAACCACGGTTTCTTTTATGTGCGTGTTTACTGTATATATCGTAGACAGGGCATCCATGCAACACTGTACTGCCGGTTAGTTCAGCGTGCAGAGCTGGATAGACGAGCGAAAGCCGCGCAAAAACAAACATCGGAGCATCACCGTCTGCTGCATGCTGTATGCGTGCACGGTTTTTGAATAACACTGCAAATTTTAGCATAAAGATTAGATAGTGCGCACAAATTATTGACGCGGCCATATGTAAAAAAAAATTTCTATGCACGCAAGCACGGGATGGACTTCACCTCGGGAACGTTTTGCGGTTTGATTGACGTGGCCGAGTGAGTGACCGACCAAGTGAGTGAGTGACGTGGCCGAGTGATCTTTGCCTATGCACATCGACATATTATACGGGTGTCCGAAGAATGGTCAAAAGTCGAACACAATTGTCCCAACAAAGCACGTTTGCAACAGACTTGGGACTCGAGACTGGATCACTTAAGCTTCGATTAGATTGCAATGCAAACCACGCACACGTTGATAAAATATAGCACTGCAGTAACACACGTAAGAATGCGGGCTGCCCAAAACCCACTCACCATATCTCCGTGAAAGAGTAAATTATCTTCCCACAACTGTATCTGCCTGCAGTATCATGGCACACAATATCATCAACTAGGTATGCCATTGAATGCGCGGGGACGTTAGCTTGCATGGTGTTGTGTACTTCCTAGTGACATACTAGTGTCTAGTGTAACCTATGGAGGTGGAGGAAGCAAGAAGGAGATGAAAGTGCAGGGTAGCCAGGCCACTTTTCCATTTGGGACATTTGTTCCACTGCCAGTGCCAGTTATTCCTGATTCACATCATGATATTTTTGCCCGAAGTTTAACGCAACCGTAAGTTTGGTTACTTGCCAGAAACATCAACATAGTGCGACCCAGGGGATAAAAATAACCGAATGCATACGGCATAAGCATTTATCGGCTTCCCCGCAACCAAACTACCCCCACAAACCTTTTTTCACGGATGTTGCCACACACGCAGCAGCGTAGGAGTGGGTTACGTTTAAACGGAAAGAGACGATGCTATGACTTTCGGTTTACTGGACGGCATACACGTTGAAGCCTCCCACCGCTAGCAAAATGTCGATGCTAGTTTCCGCACCCATGCGTACACTAACGTCGGACACGTGTACACGCCTTCACCTCACCTTGTCATATTTGAGCACAATTTCAGCTCTCTCCGTTGCTGCCAACTCCAACTGATTTCTCTCTTCACGATCATCTGCAAGATCAATGATAAATAATAACACAAAATGAAGGCCGCAGCGTTCTGAAAGCTTGATCTCCACGTAAGGGCAACGATTTGTCTGTAGAAACAAATTTTTTATAAATTACTATTAATAGCAGTAGTCCTAAGTGACATAGCACAGATACCCAGTACAGATATCTTCATGTTATTACTAAGTAAGTAAACCGTTGGCCGTCAGATCAAAGTTGGATACAGGAGTGCATATATGAACTAGGCAGATAGAAGTAGAACTGATACTACAGGGTGACACGCTGTGTACTTATATTACAAATGAGTTTATTTGTGACTGACCAACTAACAGTCACAGCAATGATAGGAACGGAGAAACATTCAAAGATTGAAGAGGGGTGAAGAGAGGAAGGAGAGGGAGAGAGAGAGA